GGCGGTTAGCGAGCCGAAGGCCTTCGAAGCCAAGGCTCCGACCAAAGTCGTCGCGTTGTTCTCTTTTGCAGTAGAGTTTAGAGTTTAGGGTTTAGGGTTTAGGGTTTAGGGTTTAGGGTTTAGAGTGTAGGGTTTAGAGTTTAGGGTTTAGGGTTTAGGGTTTAGGGGTGTAGATTTAGGGCGTGGGGTTTCAGAGCTTTAGGGGTTTAATGTTTTGAGATTTAGGGTATTTAGGGCTTACGGGTAAAAGCTTTAAGGGTTTAGGGCATTCAGTGGGTTGGGTTACGTTTGAGGTTTCAGGGGTTCGAGTCGGGGGTTGTGTCTCTCCGGTTAATTAGGGTGTATGTAACCTTTATCAAAAACTGTGAGTTATTAAACCTCAAGCCTATAACCCCTCGCCCCCACAAGCGGGTTTGTCAGTCAGATTCTCGATGTTCAAGAACCTATCTTACCTGCCGGATTGTCTCCATGGCCGCCGGATCCATATCTTGACCTAAGACCTAAACCCTAAACCCTAAACCCTAAACATCTGAACAATCAACAAGGCATAGACACACATGTATGCATGACCATGGAAGGTCGCCGCCTTACCGTTCCTAGAACATTGCAGGAAGGCCGAAAGCCCCCTTTTTAGTTCAAGGCCATTGGGGTTTAGGGTTTAGGGTTTAGGGTTTTAGGGTTTAGGGTTTAGGGTTTAGGGTTTCGGGTTTAGGGTTTAGGGTTTAGGGTTTAGAAGAAGCCCAAAACCGCAAACCCTACAGGTGAACCCTAAACTCCTAAACCTACCACTAACCTCTTCAGAAGCCCTAATCCGGAAACCCTACAGGTGAACCCTGAACCCTAAACCCTAACTCTAAACCCTAAACCCTAAACCCTAAACCCTAAACCCTAAACCCTAAACCCTAAACCCTAAACCCTAAACCCTCCTAAACCCTAAAGGTGAACTCCCCGCAGCACGCCGTCGTGTCTGGCGAGGCCGCGTCCGATATTTGGCCTCTGCTTTTTCCAAGCGTCGGAGTGGATTCTCGGGTTGGGGTTTAGGGTTTAGGGTTTAGGGTTTATAGGGTTTATAGGGTTTATAGGGTTTAGGGTTTAGGGTTTAGGGTTTAGGGCCCCCTAAATCTATGATAAGGAACCCCGAAAATAATATAGGGGCCTAAATAATTTCCTATACTATTTTGGGGGTTCCTTATTATGAACATAGTTTAATATACCCCGAAACCCTGTTCTGATGATTAAGGCTCCTACATGACTGATCTCGCAGCGGCTAGTAATCCCTGCTTGGACCTTGGAGGATTGCAGGACTTAGTAAGTAGGTACTTGGTAGACCTATAGGCATCATAAACCCAATAAATATCTTCTAGGTTACTTATCAGTCTGCTTATTCTCCACTTACTAAGTCCCCCGACCCGCCACGTAGTCCCATACTTAGCGTGGCAGCTGAAACGGTAATCTTTAGCTTTTTCGGTCTGTCTGGTCAGTACTTGACAGAACTTTACGGTGCCTGTTGGGATTGTATAACCCAGGATTACGCCCCAAGCTTGTGGGGGTAGTTTCACATCACCCCTAGTCACAACAAACACATTGGGGCCCTTTGTTGGGTTTGCATACTCCGTACTCTTTTAGAACCCCTAAACCACTAAACCTCTAAACCCAAACCCCCAAACCCCTAAACCCCTAAACCCCAAACCCTAAACCCTAAACCCTAAACCCTAAACGGACCCGGGAAGTCAGCAACTAGGTAAGTACAGCCTATTTGAAGTCTTGCCCCTGTGGGAGAACTTGCAATCGTGGATCTTCAGTCATCCTACTGTTGATGGTATAAATGCCGCATTACCTTAGGGGCCCTAAACTATGGGAATTATGGTATATTCCCTCTCATGAGTAATGCATGTTTTATATCATCAACCGTGGTGTCCAGGGTTTAAGGGTTCGGGGGATACTTGAGGCTTGCGGCTTCGCAGGTTTAGGGTTTAGGATTGAGTGAGTAACTGGGAATATAAACGATTGTAGTATGGGCCCTAAACCCTAAACCCTAAACCCCTGCAGCTAGACTGCGACATCCCCAAAACTCGGTTCCAATCATGGGGCCCTAGGCCCGAAAAAGTGGAATTCTTTGAATCGCTTCTATAGAACCTAGAGTTTAGGGTTTAGGGGTTTAGGGGTTTAGGGTTTAGGGTCTAGGGTTTAGGGTTTTAGGGATTTAGGTTCTAGGGGTTTAGGAACCACTACACTCTTATGAAAATCCTGCTTCAGGTACAGGCAATTGCAGCGCTAGAGGCAGAGTTGAAAGCAGAAGGGCGCCTCCGTCGGGCTTGTCGCGGGGCGCTTCGGAAGAGGATTCATGTGGGTTCAGGGTTTAGGGTTTTTAGGGCTTAGGGAGGGAGTTTAGGGTTTAGGGTTTAGGGCCTTCCTTGACGGTTATAACACAACATCCTCATGGAATCCTAGTTAATGTAGAGCCTCGGGAGGACTTTTCGTGCCTTGTTGAGAGTTTGAGGTTTCGAGTTTGGATTCTACACCAGACAAACCACGCATTGAATACATGTGCAGGCAGACACATCAACGCATGTACATGCAAGAGTTCGTAAATGCGGTACATCGACGTGCATGCATGCAGATGCACTTGCATGCAAGTACGTTCAATCTTACACATCATGTCCACATGTCTCATGCTTTCTCGCATGCATGTCTCAGTGCACGCATGTATGTCCATGTGTACACGCGTGTGTGTCTGTGTGTGTGTGTGCATGTGTATGCATACATGTGTATGCGCCTGCTGAATACCAAACGCATGCATAGAGATACGGCATGTAGGCATGTGGGCAGGTATTCAGATTTGCTCTCTCCGCTTCTGTCTCCCTCCATGTGCCCTTTTTAGGCATGCATGTGTGTATGTATGTATGTATGTATGTATGTATGTATGTATGTATGCATGTATGTATGTATGCATGTATGTGTGTATGTGGGTATGTGTGTATGTGGGTATGTGTGTATGTGTGTATGTATGTATGTATGTATGTATGTATGTATGTATGTATGTATGTATGTATGTGCGTACATATGTGTAGCGACGTATCTATCAATGTCGCTGTTTGTTTATCTAACAATCGATCGATAGAGCTATGAGCTATCTGTATCTATGTCTATCCATCTATCTATCTATCTACCTATCGATTTTCCTATCTCATTATATATCTATCTATCTATCTATCTATCTGTCTATCTATCTATCTATCTATCTATCTATCTATCTATCTGTCTTTTAGCTGTCTGTCTCTCTGTCTGTCTGCCTCACGGCCTGCCTTTCTGTCTCTTCCTGCATGTATGCATGCATGGATGTAAGTGTAGTGTATGTACATGTTTGCTTAAGTATGTCAGTGTTTCTTCTTGTAAGTCTGTCTGCATGCGTATGTATACACGTATGTATGTGTGTATGTATGTCTGTACG